TGGCAGATGCACAAAATTATATTTTTTAGACACATATTCATGTTAAAACCAACCATGTTAATCAACTCTTGGAATTCCACCGCATATGAACATTTCAAAAGTAAAATATGTTGAAATATCTCAATAGGTGCCATAAATTAATTGAAATATTCAAAACTATGCAAAAAAATATACTTAAATTATCGTTATTGTAAAACAAATAACTATTGAATGATTTGTATATTTTCTAAAACCATAAGCACACAAATAAACATACAAACCTGAAGTATAATATATTGACTCTATTTATAACAACTTAACCAATATATTTTAGCTAAATAAATATCAAAAATACATTAACTGTAATAAAATTGGTATAGATATTGAAGCTAAAACAAAATATAATCTTCACATAAATTATGTCGTGTACAATATTTTCAAGATTGAAGATATAAAATAAATTATTCGACTAATTTATAAAGGTATATATTAAGAATACTGAATAAACTTTTCGAATCATTATTTTATTTTTCTGTATACAATAWACAATAATATACAATATACAAACATTTTACATACTTACTTAAGTCTAAAATCAAAGTTTAAACTTTAAATGATAGTCGTAAATTTGTAACTATCATTTTAGTATTCTACTATTTATCAGTTTTCCGTAAAAGTAATAAATATAAGAATGTTAAGACATTACGTTTGAAAGTTTAATAGGTATATTTTTTGAGGAATTATTTATTATTATAAGTAAAAATCATTCAATCAAAATGTAATCGTTATTAATATGCTATTACAATAACGAACACTAGTTGGTGGTTGAACGAGTAGAAACAGCTGTTTATAAACAACTACTTTTTGGTTAAAAAATTATTTTCTATTAACAAAAATTATACTCTAAACTTCAAAGTTGTTTTGTTCTTAAATCTAAACCTGATAAATATGAAAATATTCRAGTGACATGATATTATTTTGGTTTATGTGACTATGTAATTAAATAATATTATAAAGATTTTTTTGCATATAATATATTAGTATATAATATTTTCTATGACCTCGTGTACATTTTATCCGGATTCATAAAACTTTCATTATAATTTATGATTATAAGCTAATACATTTTAGAATATATTCGTGATCGTTTAGAGTACTTACTGCAGCATTCCTGTATTATGCCTTTCATGGATTGTGGATACATATTTTATTTTTTTTTTTTTTTTATTTTACAATTTAAAATACACAATCTATACAACATGTGGATACATATTGATGCATATTTATATTTATTTAAAATAATATTAAAATAGATGGTAAGTAGGAAGTAAACCTGTAAAATATATAGTACAGAGTATTATACCAATGTTTGTCTTGCTTTTCCCACGTATTTTAAATTTATTCCATGATTAATATTTTATCACATGTATTTTTGGTTATAACCTATCTATTATATTGCGTTAAATAGTGTTACATAATAACAGATTACAATTACCTATACGATACTTAAAAAAAAAAATTGGAACGGTATAAGAATTTCAACTTAGATCGAACAGCTCTGCGATGTTTCAAAACAAAATTTACATTTCACGTTGGATACAGATTGTATAATTTTCTTATGAAAAAAAAATCTATAGTAAGAAAATAT